AAAAAAAAAAAAAATACCCAGGTTTTTTTAGGTCTTTAGGGTCCGATTTTTGTTGTTATTTGCGTTTAATATTAAATGACAATGACAACTACTGCTACCACCACCTTGCAGAGAAGTCTCTCATCAAAACGGTTGCTTTCTGTTTGGCTTAGAAGGGACCCGGGAGGCCTGTGTGTAAAAGAACTCGAGGCCCCTCTCACCTGTGTGTGGGAATCTGAGCCCTAGTGGGGGGGTTCCTGCAGATGCTCACCTGCACTAAGCACTCAGGTGTGGCCAAGGTCCTAAAATGTTCCTGTTAGATGTGAACCAGTGCTGATTCTACAGTGCCACACCATGCAGTGTTAAGTGCTTTTGAGTCAGCTGACTCATACCAACCCTGTATAGAGTTTCTGAGCATTGGCCTATAAGTTTGAACCGCTGACCTTGAGGTTCAAACAGACCTTGCTATCGAGTATTTATGCAACAGTGCTACACCAGGACTCCACACCATGCATTGTTGTTGTTGTTAAGTGCTGACAAGTCGATTCCGACTCATAGCGACCCGTGTAGGGTTTCTCAGGAGCAACTGCTGAGTCTGAACTGCCAACGTTGGGGTCCAGTGCTTACCCTAGGGTCACACCAGGACCAAATCACCAAACTAGAGGCAGAAAGAGCTAGCCTGGCATCATTCTTCAGGTCTGGAAGTAAACTCACCCCCAGGTCTCAGCTTTCAGTCAAAGAATAGACAGTCCCTTCAGGGTGAACAACCATACCAGGAAGGTACTCACTGCGTAGAACAATCAGCTATAGGAAATCAAAAGGGCAGCATCTGCTCTGCAATAAACCTCAGGAAGCAGGAAAGGATAGGAAAGCAGGAGTGGAAACAGTGAATTGGGGAGGTAGTGGGAAGAGTGCTGTTGCATTGTGGGTATTGCAATCAATGTCACGAAGTAAGAAGTGTATGGGGTATTGAATGAAAAACGATTTTGCTCTGTAAACTGCCACTCAAGTCACGATAAAAGGTTAAAAAAATCTCTCTATATGTATGTGTGGAGTCCTGGTGTGGTGCTGTAGGATCGATACTGGGCTGCTAACCACTAGATAAGGAGCTCTGGTAGTGTAGTGGTTATGAATCGGGCTGCGAACCTTATGGTCAGCGGTTCGAAACTACCAGCCGCTCCGTGTAAGAAAGATGAGGCTTTCTACTCCCGTAAGGATTTACACCCTCGGAAACCCTGTACAGGGTCGCTATGGGTCGGAACCGACTTGATGGCACTTAACAACAACAACTACTAGGTTGGTGGTTCAAATCCACCAGCTGCTCCTTGGAAACCCTATATAGGGTCACTGTGAGTGGAAACCCACTCAGCAGCACTTAACAACATATATATACACATTTCACTAGTTTTATTCTTTTGTTCTTTTGGAGAACTCAGCCTAAGACACCGCTCTACAAGAAATTTTTACAAAGGTGTTTGGGGGGATTGATGCAAAATGATGTTATTCATAATCAGCACCTGTGTGTGAATGCAGATTTGCCTGTGGCGTGTACAGGCTGAGCATTCCTCAGACCCTTTCTTCTTTAAGTCTCACAAGAACCCTGAAGAATCTACAGCTATACTTCATGCACAAAGCCGTTAGGAGGCAGAGGTTGGCCTCATGGCCCCAAAGCCCTGGTATTCCCCCCAACTGCTCTGTCATCGAGAGAAGAGCCTGTTGGGACGGGACCTGCACTGTCCTCCTATGGGCTGGAACTGGTGGCTCTCATGCCTGTCTCATGGACAAGGTTTAAAAATGCAAATTTCTGGGCCTACTTTTTATCAACAGAATCATAACCTTCTCACACAGGGCCAAGGAATCGCATGATCAGAATGTTTCCCAAGCAATTCTGATCTCAAAGTCACTCACTGGCTTACATTTCTCAATTTCCTGTTTTAGGATATTTCTGTGATAAGTTTGTTTGACATGCTGTTTGAAAAGAGAAGAGTAACTGTACCAAAAGAGGGAAGTTGAAACACTCAAGTCCTTGACATAGTCTAAAGTAATGTCTAGATATTTATAGGATATATTTCTTAGGGGGACTTAGAGAACTTCAATGTGGTCCATGGCCTTGTCTTCACAGTACCTCCCCATCACTGCTGAGGTAGGGAGGACAGGATGAATAAGCCACAGCAGGGCCACTCTACACCAGAAAAGGTCATGGCCTATGATGTCTTTATGAATCACCTTCTGTACCCACCTGCCTAGCTAACCTCTGTTAGCCAGCAGGTCTCCCCGTTCCACCCCTTGACTGTGTCTCCCAGATCTTGGTAAAGCACCTGCATGACCCTGCCGAGTGCTCAGGGACACTGAGACGCTCACTCACAATTCATCCAGGCAGTCTTCTGGCTGCTTCAGCCGGTGACCATGGATAAGATAGTCATAGATTTCATGGTTCTGGACTCCGGGGTAGGGAGTCATCCCCCGCGTCATGATTTCCCACATGGTAACGCCAAATGCCCACTGAAAACAAAGCAACAAAAAGTTAGGATGCAAGTCTTTCCAGAAAGGCTGAACTGACTGTTTTCATTGGGCAAGGTCTTCTCCTTAAGGTCCCATGGATTGTACACACAGCTGACAATTATACCTGAGACATGCTGCTCTCCCAACACTGCAATGGCATATGGTTGGAGCGTCACAGTTTGTGATGTGATGGATTGCTTTTATTTGACCTTTCTTTCCACGGTCTTGTAACTCTCACCAAATGATTATGTTCTTGTTGTCAAGTGCCATATAGGATTTCTGAGGAACAGCTGGTGAGCTTGAACTGCTGACCTTGCGGTTCAAATGTTTAGGTGGGACCATGCAAATAAGGTGCTTTTGGCCCACCAAGTGACTGGACAACTTGTCAATAATGCAAATAAGGTGCATGGTATCCTTGAGAGACCATGCATATAAGGTGTATGGAACACTAAGGAGGTTATTCATCAGTTTTGCTGTCCTGCTAGGATCAATGAATTACGCACTGAGCTGCTAACTAAAAGGCCAGCGATTCAAACCCATCAGCTGCTGTGTGGAAGAAAGATTACGTAGTCCATTACTCTAAAGACCTGCAGGCTTAAAATGAGCCATCCCAGAGGCAGATGGGGCTGTGGGAGGGACCTCACTACCTCAAAGGAAAATAAAGTGGGAGCAGAGCCCATCTTTTTGACCTGGGGTCCCTGCATTGAGAACTTCCTAGATCCAGGAGACAGAGAGTTGTAACACAGGACATGGTGCAAGACAGAGAAAAGGGGCAGCAAGTGTGGCAAAGAACCAGCAGCAGCAAAACCAACCAGGTGACTGGTTGGAGACAGAGCAATAGGCTCGCTGACCCAGGGGGCTAGAGCATGTAACACTGCTTTAGGCAGGAGACTTGCTGGCAGAATGGGGTATATATCCGGACACTTGGTAAAGTTAGGCTTGCTGTCCCATGGCACTATAGAGCTGAACTCTTTGGGACCAAAGCTTACTGGTGGAGTAGGGAGGTTCTGAGCACCTATCAGTTGAGCTAAGGAGCTTTGTGACATTTGTCCATGAAGCCCTGAGCAGAGAGTCCAGCAGCAGAGAGCAAGAAGCTGTTATGATCAAACATCCTAGTCATTTCTGATGCTGAATTGTAACCTGTTATCTCGGAAACAAACTGCATCGATTGTGAGTGTTGTCTGTGAGTTCTGTGTGGCTACTGCAGTGAATGATCCCATTCAGCAGACAAGAACAAAGTGCTGTAGGCGGGATGTCTGTGTCAGAATGGGAATCAGCTGCTGATTTGGATTCTCCTTCCTCTTTGTGAGACTAGAAGTGGACAGACACCCCCACCACACCATTCTTACAGAGTTCCCCATTTTCACTAAAGCTGTTCCAGAAAATGTGACAAAGGCAAAACATAGCTGCATCTTACATAATACTCTGGTTAACGATCTACTCGAATGCTCTGAAAGGTTTTCTACTCCCAATCTCTGGTTGAGGATAAAATTATACAGCACACCATGATTCCAAAGAACCAGTGGATAAAGTAATTGAATTTAATGTTATTCTGAAATATCTCACTGCAGATAACAGGTCACCATATTGTAGTAAAGAAAATGGGGATAAATTAAGGTCCCATGCAAAGCGTAGATCTTCTGAATGTCAAGATGATTTACCAGAATCTAGGAGCCCTGGTGGTGCAGTGGTTAAGCTTTTTGACTGCTAACTGAAAGGCTGATAGTTCAAACTCACCATCCACGTTGTGGGAGAAAGATGTGGCAGTTGGCTTCCATAAAGATTTATCGTCTTAGAAACCCCAAGGAGCAGTTCCACTCTGCTTATAGGGTTACTAGGAGTTGGAAATGATTTGATGGCAGTGGGTTTGGACTTGAGGACACTCATCATCAACAACAACAACAACTTGAATTGTGTGGTGCAAATGATTAATGCACTTGGTTGCTAACTGAAAGGTCCACTCCGAGATACCTCAGGAGAAAGGCCTGGTAACCTGCTTCTTGAAACACCAGCCACTGAAAATCCTATGAAATTCACGGGGATGCCAAGAGTCACAATCAACTTGATCAAGGCAAGTGGTTTGGTTTGGTTTCTCAGCCACAAGTAAGAGAGCAGTCTGAGCATACTCCCCAGCTTATTAAGGAATAAAATATCCTGGGACATCAACTTATATAATTTATTGGGGACAGGGATAAGAGGTATAAGAGTAAGGAAGAGCCCTGGGCTATGAGCTGGACTGCTAATGGTCAGCAGTTCGAATCCACCAACTATTCCATGGGAAAAAGATGAGGCTTTCTGATCCTACAAAATTTACAACCTTGGAAACCTTATATAGTGTTGCTATGAGTTGGATCGACTCCACGGCACATAACTACCACCACCATAGGTGTAAGGATTATATTTATAGTTAAGACTAGGACTAGGGCTAGGACTTGGTTTAGTATTAGGGTTATGGCTCAGCCTTTCCTCTAAAGTTCGGGGTTCCAGGATTATCACCTGTATCTGTTTCATTTGCTGGTGTCTTTGTGCAAAAGGTCTATCTAATATGCCGTCTTATTGTAAGTCCAAGTCCTATCTTTTAAATTTAATGTGGGGTCCTGAATTAAAATGTATACATACCACGTCACTTTTACTTGTGTAGACTCGATCTGCAAGACTCTCTATGGCTATCCATTTCACAGGCATCTTGGCAATTCGGCCTTGGCGGTAGTAATCACCACTGTAGATCTTCTTGGAGAGGCCAAAGTCCGCAACACAGACAGTCATGTCATCTCGCAACCTATGGAGAGAGTTCATGTCCTCAGCAACATCAGAGACAGGCCTGGTATCTCTTGCATCTTTAGATGCTGCCGATGGGGGCATTCATGAGAAGTGGTCACAAGAAGATATGCAGTGGCCTTGAGGTATGGTGACTCATGTGGCCCTGTGTGCCCAACACTGACTCAGTTTCAACACTGAAAAGTTTTGTGTTCTGGAAAATCTCAATGCCGGGCATACTGGATACTGGTCACTCTATCTAGAAAAACCTGAAGGAAATACTAGGGGAAAAAGGTTTTTAGGATTCTCCCTCCTGGTTGAAAGGTGATACAGATCAACCAAGGAAAACCAAGAACAATAACACATTTGAAAAGCACTCCCTCCTCTTGCAATATCAAGCTTAAAAACAAGAAATACCTATTGCTTTTGAAGATTTACAGTAGACAATGGCTTTGTCAGATTAGGCTGAAGAAATGGGGAGAGCATGGGACCTTAATTTATCCTCATTTTCTTCACTACAAACTATTAATAATACTAATGTCATTATGTTAGTAACCCCTTGGCTCTCTGCTGGGAAAATAAAGTTTCAGAAGGCGTGATTTCTTCACAAGGAAGCATCAGCGACAACTCAGGAGCCAAACTTTTATAGTCTTCATTACTGTCTTCATGTAAAGAGCTGATTCCTCCCTGTTTCTGGATCCCAAGCAATCTGATGCCGAAGGGAAAGATCACACTCAGCACTCTGAATCCAGGGATGGTGTGAAAATAGGAGAAAGTTTCCCAGGCCAATCGGAGTTGTACAAGTGAAACCCTGGAAACTAAAGCATCAGACTGTGGAAATCCCATCTCCAGAGCGAGCTCTACCGGGCTCTCCCAAAGAGAGTTCTCCACCATATTTTACCAGCAGTAGTCCATCTTCCACCCTCCTCCACCTGCTGTAAAAGTCAAACACTGCAAGGTCCAACCTGTGTAGGCTGGGTCAGGATCTTACATGCAGTTCCGAGCAGCTAAGTCTCTGTGCAGGAAATTCCTGTTACTCAGATACTCCATTCCTAGGGCAATGTCCACCATGAACTTCAACAGTGTTTGCAGAGGAATGTGCTGGGGTAGAGGGAACAAAAAGAAAGACTTCTTTAAAAAAAAAAAAAAAGAACACTGGCAAGTTATTTACATCTGAAGAGGAGATGGTGCTTTTATGTCTTAAAGGCGAGAAACAAGAAAACCACCTTTTATTTTCCATATCACTAATGAACTGGCCTGGTGTAGCACTGGAATGCAAGGTTGATTTGAACCTCAAGGTTGGCAATCCTTGGAAACCCCATGAGGGTCGCTATGAGTCAGAAGTGACTCAACAGCACTAACAATAGCAAAATCACATATAAGGGGTCTTGGTGTGGTGTTATAGGATAAGCACTGGACTGCTAACTTCAAGCCACCAGTGGCTCCTTAGAAACCCTATACCGGGTTGCTCTGAGTTGGGATTGATTCGACAACACTTTACCACAGGGTCAGTGATTCAAACCCACCAGTTGCTCTGTGAGAGAAAGATAAGACTGTCTGCTCGTGTAAAGATTTACAGCCATGGAAACACTCAAGAGCAGTTCTACTGAATCCTATATAGGCTTGCAATGTGTTGGAATAAACTCAAAGGAAGGTTTGCTCTGGTTTGGAGTCACAAATAGGAACTCTGGTGGAGATTTTTAAGTGCTTGACTGCTAACTAAAAGGTCAGCTCTTCGAACCCACCAGCAGCTCCCTGGGAGAAAAGACCAGGCGATCTGTTCCCATAAATACTACAGTCATGAACCCTACGGAGCAGTCCAACTGTGTCCTGTGGGATTCTGGTGTGGTGCTGTGGGTTAATGTGCTGGATTGCAAGACCGGCGAGTCAAGCTCACTGGCTGCTCCTTGGAAACCCTATACAGGGTTGCTATGTGCCAGAACCGATTCAACAGAACTTAACAACAAGAAGATTGGAAATTGACCCGCTGGCACAGAACAACAGCAGCACACACTACCAGGAAGGAACATTCATACAACAGGAGATCACTTCATACAACAGCCATGAGATGGCTTCATACAACAGCCTCCAACAATGGGCTCAAACATACCAATAGTCATGCAAATGGCCCAGGACCTGTCAGTTTCATCCTCTTACACAGGAGGTCACTGTGAGTCATAATCGACCCAATGGCAACTAACAACAGCAAGTTCAGAAGATAAAAAAAGGAAATGTAAAAAAACAACAAAAACCCAAGCCTAATACTTCTTGGCAAACATCATATTCTTTTCTCCCCATCTTTAAAAGTATTTATAATGAATAACACTCTGGATTTTTCACTTTTTCACATGAAGTCAAATGTATCCATCTGAGTGGACAATGGAACAGAACATGGACATGTAAGGGACAGGAGCAGCCTTAAAGTTCTGGAGGCAAAAAACCCTAGTAGGAGCTATTTTCTTTCTCTTTGTTTTAAAGTTTTTATCGTGAATTGAGTGAGAGTTTACTTGGCTGATCATTTGCTTTATACCATTGTTTCGTTGCAATGATTACAATCTCCTCCGTGGATCATTATGCAGTAGTATTTGCTTCAGTTTCCTCTCTTTTTCTTTTTTTGGGGGGAGGCGGGTTAGGATGGAGAGAGAGAGGTACACAAAATCACTCAGGAATATATAATAATTTACACAATCAGTGGGCACAGGAGCTATTTCCAATTATGCCACCACATCTGTTATCATTTCACTTTGAAATGTTTTAGGATAGTCTTTGCCCCATCACTGGATCAAAGAAGCACAAGTATTCAGAAATAATGATCATTTTTGTTTTTCTAGGGCCTCTTAGTGGGTTTCCGTAGTCTAGTGTTTTCTTGGTATAAAAATCAAACTACACTGCTGTGTTAGAAGACCTGCTGGTGGTATCGATTATATTCTCAAAACTGTCCAACTCCATGGTGATGGAAATGATGAAGGAATTAAAACCTCTGTTCAGTAACTGGATGTTTTACTGCTGTCACACCCCTAAAGAAATGGGTTTACCACAAGTTCCTGGCAACCATGAACGGGTCCACTCCTGGCATGCAATCTCCAGGGCACTCGGTTTGTTATGGCTTGTTCTCCGTGCAACATTTTCCAAAAGGGTACTTATGAAGACATTGAGTTTGTAATGATTTATTTTGTCTAACTAAGACATATGTCAGTCACATACTGTGGATATAGAATACATTAATTATCTTTTTAAAAAAGTAAACAAATCGGACATGAAAGCCATATGCCTCATTTAAAAAAAATTATTATTTAAACTTTTGATTGTGATTTGGGTTAAAATTTGCAGAGCAAATAAGTTTTCCATTCAACAGTTCATACATTTTTTGTTTCATGACATTAATTGCAACGTAACTGCATTTTTCCTACTTCCTCCCATTTCCTATCTCTTTTTTTTCTTGCCTTCTGAATTCTGTCCCTAGGCAAATGCTATCCCCTTGGTTTCTTTCATATGGTTGATTGTTATATGGAGTACATGGCTCCTTTATGTTATTGTTTTAAGTGTGGGGCACTTGGTTTCCTGGGGTTAATGTGCAAGGCTGCTAACTGGAAGGTCTCCAGAAGCACCTCAGAAGAAAGGCCTGCCAATCCACTTCTGACACACCACCTGCTGAGATCCCTAAGGAGCTGAGTTCTCCTGGGACTCACACGGGGTCATGAGTTGGAAATGACTTGATAGAAACTGGTTTTCTTGGTTTCCTGGACTCTACTTTCCTAGATTTCTAAGAGAGAATCTGGGTGCCAAGAAATATCAAAGTCCATTGTTGTTCACAAAAGCTGTAATGAGTCTCAGGTACTTAATCCTTTATGCTACTTTTTCCCCAGAACAATTGCAATTTTCTTGGAGAATGTGACCGAAAGCTATTTCTGTGAGGTTGCTGTCCCAAGAGAGGCTCAGTTAAAACAAATCAACAAACAAATCTTACCTTCCCTGTACTCCAGTTCCTAACACATCTTCCAGTTCTGAGGATGGAGGGGCTCACAATAGAAAAAAGGTGGAGTCAATTTGTTTCTCGTGGAAATGGATGAGAGGACTTCAAAAAGTTCGTGGGAAAGAAATTACATTATCTTTTTAATCTATCGCACCACAAACTTTTGGAAGCCCTCTGGTACTCACAGCAGCCTATCTTTGGGAAAGGAATCATATCTCACATCATGGGGTGGTTTCATACCAAACAAGCCCCAAAGAGGGGTCTCAAAAAAGAAAGCTCACTCTGATTGTGTGCAGGTCCCACACAGCTGCAGGAGGCACGTGGCCCCGCTTGTTTCAAACCAAGATCTCCAGTGAGTGGACTAGTGAACCTGTGTCTTCCTCACTAATTGCTCATAAGTGGACTTAGTGTGTGGACCAACAAGTGCGATCTTAAGTGTCCTGCTATCTGTCCACAAAGGCAGATATTTCTCAGTTGACTGAAACAGAGAATTTCCTGCGGCACCATCATGATCACATGGAGGTTGGTTCTCCAGCTGTGGCAGTGCCACAAGAATGCCCGTGCCCGTGCCTGGCTTTCTGCTCTGGCCCTGGCCAGCTGGCTTCTTGGGATGCTATGCACCTTTTACCCACAGCAAACCACCTCTCCACTTTTACAGTGTGGAAGTGGTTGCCTGTCTCCCACCACCAGCACCTCACCAGCAGTTGAGGTCAGCAGGTGGGAACTGGATCTGTAGTGTTCTGTCCTGTGTCCCCAAAGCTCAGCACAACTCAGATGTGGCCCCTGTTGACTGGCTGACTGAATCAGTAAACTTCTTCAGCTGAGTTTAAGAATTTGTGAGCGAGCCCCTTGGCATTTCTTTTCCTTGGGAAAATGCCCAGGCTGACCTTAGGTCCCCAGGGAGTAGGGAAGCCTGCAGAACTTTCCACATTGGTCACCCACAAGGACCTTTCCCCTTTAGGGCTTGTTTACAGAGCCAGTGGGCATGGGTCTTCAGTACTCTTGAGAACTAATTTTTCTACATTGCCTCCTGTGAACATGTCAGACCATAAAGTGAAATTAACAAAAATTCATCCCAGAAGCCATCATTAAATTGGTGAAAGCAGCTGGAATTCTAATTTGAATCATCGGAGAGCCCTGTTATTGATGGTAGTATTGGCCGGTGGAGAAGAGGTAACACTGAGACGGAGGTTTACTGGTGTAGTTCCTCCCTGCTGTTTACAGTGCCAATTCAGGGCAGTGTTGGTCTGCAATGACTTCCGCCTTGATGAAGAATGACGACTGACAGAGGCCAGCCCCACCACCCCAGCCAAGTGTGCCTGAGACTTTCTGGCCTAAAAGAACCTTGCAAGACACTGCTGGCTCCACTGACAGGCAGTTGAGAGACAGAAAGGGTGGTGGTTCAGCCAGCTATACAGTTAAAACACAATTCGTGCCTCATATCTACAGTCCATGGGTCTGCTCACAGACTCCCACCACTCAGGAACCATGGCAAGAAGAGGACCTTTCTAGTTACAGGTAGGAAGGAAGAACAGGAAATGAGGAATGCAATATCCCCATCAACTTGGAGTCTTAAACCCAATTTTATAAATCTTCAAAACAATAGTGAAAACTGATCCTGAAGAGAGCAGATCAGATGACCACTGGACTGCTAACTGCAACGTCAGTGGTGCAAACCCACCAGCTACTCCTTGGAATTCATATACAGTGTTGCTATTAGTCAGGAGTGACTCAAAAGCACATAACAACAACAAATAATTTATTAGAAAGAATTAAGGTAGCCTTTTCCACAGCTACGTACAAAATTACCAAGGCTTCAAAAAGACATAGTGACTAAATCAGTCAACACAGGAAGTTGGGTCTTTCTAAAAGTTATGTTGAAATCTTAACCCTAGTGCCTGGAATTATGATCCTTTTTGGAAACAGGACTTTTTAAAACATGTTAATAAGGTCATACCAGAGTCTGGTGGGTCCTAACCCTAACCCCATCTCAGTGGAACTTTATTATAAAAGGAGTAGAAAAGACACAGCCACACAGAGGGGGAGAAGTGAAGTAAAGACAGAGGAAGAGAAATCTTTATGTTTAGGAATGTCAGCGATTGCCAGCAGCAACCAGAGCTGAAGGAGAAAGAGAACGTCCCCCTAGAGGTTGTTGTTGTTGTTAGGTGCCATCGAGTCGATACCGACTCATAGCGACTTTCTGCACAGCAGAACGAAACACTGCCCGATCCTTGGCCAACCTCACTACTGTTGCCACGCTTGAGTCTATCGATGCTGCCACTTGGCCAATATATCTCGTTGGGAGTCTTCCTTTTTCTCTCTGACCCTCCACCTTACCACACATGATATGCTTCTCCAGCAACTGGTCCCTCCTGACAATATGTCTGAAATATGAGACATGAATTTTGGCCATCCTGGCCTCCAAGGAGCACTCTGGCTGCACTTCTTCCAAAATGGATCTATTGGTCCTTTTAGCAGCCCATGGCACCTTCAATATTCTCCTCCAACACCATAACTCAAAAGCATTAATTCTTCTACGGTCTTCCTTATTCACTGTCCAGCTTTCACATGCACATTAGGTTATTGAAAATACCATGGTTTGGGTCAGGCGCACCTTAGTCCTCAAGCTGACATCTTTGTTCTTCAACACTTTGAAAAGGTCTTATGCAGCAGATTTGCCTAACGCAATACGTCCTAGAGGTAGTGCCTGGAATTTAGAGTTCTAGCGTCCAGGCCTATGAGAAAGTAAATTCTGTTCTTTAGAGATGTCCATGCTTATACACTAGCTAACAGAAATGGGCGGGGATGGTGGGGTGGTGGTGGTGGTGGTGGCTATAAAGGCACGAAGTAGCTGGTTTGCAAATTTTCAAGAGTGTGCTAAGTTTCAGAGTGCGGGGTAGGGTAGAATCCCCGCTGAATAGTTCTCATCTTGTCTAGATGGCTCTGGTGAAAGGAGATGGGGATAGGATCCTTTAATAGTAATTCAATAGTAATTGTTGTTATGACTAATTGTGATCGTCACAACTGTAAAGGTAGAAGATGTGAAACAAAAAGGGGGAGTAGTTAATCTTACACTCCAGGAACAGAGGACTCTAGGACCATCAAAGGAGAAGAGCATGCAGGGAGTGGGGGACCCTATCCAGAGAAGCAGTAACACCAGAGACGGAGGCAAAGGTGATAGCATGGAGAGAAAGAGCAGCTGAGAACTCTAGACTCATAGAAAGAGACAGGTAGGCTTGTAACATGTGCCCTTTGGTCCTTTAAATGATTATATATTTTCTGTGTGTACATTAAAAAAAAAAAAGAGGGAATAGAGGCAAATATTGTTAACCAGTGGTGTATGGAGGGGATTGTAATTGTTGCAATGAAAGAAAATACAATTTATTGAGTGCAAAACTGATGATCTACCCTGTAAACAAACTATCATCAATACAAGCTTTGCACATGGAAAAAAAAAAGTATCTATGAGCTATTTTGAAGACGGAGGTTATGTTGTAATCCCACGGTGCGCTGTGAGCACTGATTAAAAGCCAATGTTCCCTCTCCTCTCCTTGATTTTTAAGGCTAGACACTATGGTGGTCGGGTCCCCTGTCAGTCACACAGAAACAACACAACTAGACTATTACCTTTGGTCCTGTATCAAGTCGAGAATAAAGTAAGTAGGTATGTAGATCCCCATACTTCATAAAGGGCAAAATAACCATTGGCTTTGGGATGCGTTGAGCGCTCATTTCTATACAGACACCTGAAAGTTAAAAGAACACAGCAGGTTACAATAATAAATGCTTAGAACTCACACACTGTGTCCTAAAATATGAAACAGACAAAGGTCTTCATGCTTGTCCCCCTCCCCCACCAGAACAGTGTATGAGAGTTCTCAAAAAATTCCATCTTTAGTTTAGTCATCTAAAAACCTATGATTATCTGTTATACTGAATTTAAGTCATAGGGGTAACTGCATTAGGATTCAAGGACAAACTGGTTGCATGTGATAGTTAAATACATCACCATATGAAAAAGTCTGTTGTAATCCAACACTTAGAGGACCTATTGGTAAAAATCCACATCTCTACATTTCAACAGCTATAGTCAGGAAAAGTGGTAATGCCATTTATTATGGGATGTGCTGGGCCAAAATGTCAGCTTGAATCTCAAGGTAAGCAGTTCAAGATCACCAGCCGCTCCTCGGAACACTGTACAGGGTTGCTATGAGTTGGAACAACAACCTGATTCTAGGCTTGCCAAGTTCTTGTACATTGTGGTGAAATTACCAAGTGCATTTGTTCTCATAAATCGGTTAAAGTCAATAGCTGCAAATGAAGGACAGTAGTTTCTTTGATATACTGTTGTACCCAAACATTAGTTCTCAATCATATAAAAAGATGGAAAGATCACCAAAGAATTTACCAAGTATCAAGTCCCAGGACAGTAAAAAAAAGGCCAACTGAAAATGCAATCACAGGTACATATCGCTTAATGTCCATAAAACGTTCTGTGGAGTGGGAAATCATGTGATTTGTATTTTGTGTGAATACCATGTTACATACTTGGTATGTAGGTAAGTAGACATGCCTACATTGTGTGCAACAGACATCACTGATGTTCCATGTGGGTGTTAGCTAATAAGATTTTGTTTCACTTTCAAATCCATACTTCTCCTCTGCCTCTTGAAGGAACCCAAGTGGTGGTGTAGGATAAACACTGGACTGCTAACCACAAACTGAGGTCAGCAGTCCAAACCCAGCAGCTGCTCTGCAGGAGAAAGATGAGGCTTTTTACTCCTGTGAAGATTTACTTTGCCTCTGGTTGCTGTTATCGCTAGCACTCGGTTTGCTGCAGTTGGGAGGCATGATGCACTTCATAGTGATATTTACTAAACAAAATGAAACAGAGAGATAACACTACAACACTCAAGAGATGCATGATACATGAGATTTGATGTGGCTACATATGAGTTAACGCACATCACACATGCATATGTCTTTGGATGTTGCCCCAAATGGACATTGAGCAACATACACATGTATTTTTCAGTGTTGCCTTTCCCTCTTGAAACAGTGTCACCTAAACAGCATCCACACTATATCTGATCTTTTGTATTTTTAGCTAACAGAGTTACAAAGCCGGATTTGGATTGTTGCCCCCACCTGTTCCAAGGAACGCAAACCCATTTTTACTAACACTTTGAGGAAATGTTACCATAAGGATAAATCTTCTGGGTGAACATCCCAATGAATACAAAAATTATGGGGTTGCATAAAGGGTAAATTTATCTACATCATAGATTCCCTAACCCCTCTTTGGCACAGACTCGATTAGCTGAGCCCTTTTGGCAACCCAATTCAGTATTTCTCCGAAGTACCTAGAAGTCTGATGACGTTTGGGTGGCAGAAGTCTTTCATGCATGCTGCTTCACTGAGAAACTCCTCAATCTCTCGCTGTGAAAAGTTGTCCACTACAGGAAAAGATGGCAAACATTAGATGTGAATAATTAACAACGGTAGAATAGAGGAAAAATAGAACATGTCCTAAGCGTGTTTATACCATGATCAGCTATGGATCAAAACACTGTGATCTATAGGGTCTATAGGGTATCCACTGGCTAATCTTTTGGAAGAGGATCACCAGGCCTTTCTTCCTACACCATCATAGTCTGGAAGCTCTGCTGAAACCGGGTCAGCATCATAGTAATATGTAAGCCTCAATTGACATGAGCCGTGGCTATACATGAAGTCCACTGAGCATGAATCAAACTCAGGCTTCCTAAATGAAAGGAGAAAATTCTACTGTTGAACCACCAATATCCCACTAGACAGAAAGAGAGGTAGGTAGATAGATACATACATACCTACATACATGAGTATGGAGTGAGTCAAAAAATATCTGCACTCTGGCTGTAGAATTAATTTTAATCAATTTTTAGAAAAGACAAAATTACATCAATTTTTTGACATAATCTTGCTTTTCAATATACTTTGTCAACAAACTTTCGTATTCCGTTATTTAAAAATGTTTTAGGCTTAGCTGTGAGAGCCACGAATGCACCGCTGTCTTCATTTCTTCATCAGAGCGAACCTTCAACCTTGAAAGGCTGCGCTCAGAGGACCACACAGGTGAAAATCCGTGGAGCAAGATCAGGATTATAGGAAGGGTGCTTTACACCTCATAACGAAGTTTTTGCAGTGTCAGCATCATGGGCGGAGGTGTGTGGATGTACACTGTCATGCAAGATCACAATGCCCTTGGATAGTAGTCCTGTGTTTAATCTGAAGTGTAGCCTTCAGCTCTTCAGTGCTCACTGTAATGAGCACTGTAGATGTTGAACCTTTTTCCTGATGGTGTTCCTTGAGAATCCCAGAAAACTGTGAGCATCAATTTAACAGCTGATTGTTAACTTCTGAAATTTTCCTTGGTCGGCGACTAAGGATGTTTCCATTCCACACTCTGCCATTTACTCTCAGGCTCATACTGATGAATACATGCCATCACCAGTAACAATTTTAAAAATAAGCTTTGATTTTCCTTCGAGTATTCATCCAAATTGTGTTTGCAGACGTCCAAACGCTTCTATTTATGCTCTTCCATAAGTTGTTTCAGTACCATCTCACACTAACTTAAAAAAAATGTTATTTATTTATTAAGTTTTTATTGTGAATTGAGTGATAGTTTACATGGGAGAACATCAGCTTTACACTCATGGTTTCATTGCAATGATTACAGTCCCCTCCATGCATCATCATTCAACAGTATTTGCTTCCATTTCCTCTGTTTTTCTTGTTTTGTTTCTTTTTGCTTTGGGATGTACACAAAAACACTCAGGAATATATAATCATTTAAACAACCAACCAAAGGGCACATTTTGCAAGGCCAGCACACAACCTTTCCCTTTTCATGAGTCTAGAGTCCTCAGCTGCTCCCTCTCTCCATGTCCTCATCTCTGCCTCCATCTCTCTCTGGTATCACTGCTTCTCTGGATAGGGTCCCACATTCCACTCGTGCTCTTCTCCCTTGATGGTCCTAGGGTCCTCTGTTCCTGGACTGTAAGATTAACTACTCCCCCATTTTTGTTACAAAACTTCTACCTTTACAGTTCACACAAACTTTTTGAAACACAAGTTTGTAGCGGATTATTTCATAGGCAGAGCCATGGCTGATTTGCAAATGATTTGCTATATAATTCACTGTCACTTGTCTCTTCGAAAGAATCATTTCACGTGCATGCTCAACGTTGTTATCAGCTGTGCATATGAACAGGCATTTTAATATAACCAGAGTGCGGATAATTTTTGACTCACCCAAAATAGATAGATGGGCAGAGATACTAAAAGTAAACAACAGTATTGCCTTGAATGTAAAGGCAAAAGGAAGAGTTTATGATAATAATTTTCTCTCTCTGACCCAGCTGCTCCTGAGTCTTCTGACATGAGAATGTCACAATCTCTGAACTTATGAAACACCTGAAACTGAAGCAGTCACCCACACCCAGAAGAATGGGTTTAATCAGTGTCAACTCACGTTTCATTGTCTTCACTGCTACTTTCTGAGTGGTTCCATCTTGCTGATTAAGATTTCCTTCCATGACAGACCCAAATTCGCCTGTGAAGTTATACAACACCTATAATTGACCTTGTGCAAAACCTCCCCCGACAACGGAAACACCATCATGCTGGCGCTGTTGCTTTCATGAGGTCAGAACATGACCAATGCATAGCCAGGAGACCGCCTACACTATACTTTAGGACAAAATGGCATGCACTGGCCTCCTACTTGTCATGAACTTAGCTGACTCAGCTTCAACTTAGCTCATCACTTCATTAAGCAAGATAACTAACTCACCAAGTTTATAGGACAATATGGAAAACATTATGGAAGTTCTTAAAGCATATACTCTTAATACCATGATCATCCAGCTAAGATCAAAGAATTAGAGGAATATGTTTAGCATACAAAGGACGAAATAGACCAATGAGTTGCACGTTTTTCAAGGAAGAAAAGGAGTTCATATCGATCAGCACTGGACTGTGAACTACAGGTCTACAGTTCAAACCTGCCAGCTGCTCCTTGGAAACCCTATACAGGGTCACTATGAGTCAGAACCAATTCAATGGCACTTAACAAAAACAACTATATGTGTGAGGCTCTTTTCATACGCCAACTCTTAAGTTTCAAAAATCACTACTGACTTTATCCAGCTTTAAATTATAAAGCAACTGTTTGTGTTGCAACTCAGGTCATGAAAGCACTGTTTGATTTAAACAATAAACACACATTTTTAAAGACTTCCTCTACATTGCTTACCTTCACCAAGAATTTTCCCAAGAATTAAAAGATTTCTGTCAATCACAACATCTTCTAGCTTATTCTGCAGTTCCTCGCTGACACCCAAGCTATGCACTGGAGAAGGAGTAACAGAGTACAGTTAAGATTTGTCACTGTGCTTTCTTTCATTGGAATATACTTAAAATTATAAACTCCTGTAAAATACTGAAAACTTGGCTTTTCATTTCACACCCACTATTTCTCCACCGAGATATCAATAATATATCACACTTAATTCTAGGATTAAGCTGAGTCAATTAATTCTGAAGCCTGATTCAGATCAGAGCCACAGTTCTCTTTTTGGTGTGTGGCCCCAGCACCAGAATCAACTTCAGAGAGGGGAGCTTTCCTCTGGACTGAAAGTACTAAGGAACAGAAGCCAATAGGTATGTTTTGTGGATTACGCACTATCATGTCCCTAACTACAGTGCACAAATGAACCATGAGGACACGTCCTGCTGTCCTCCCATTCCAGGGAAGGAGACACACTTAGAGCTAGCTACTCTTCTAAATATTAGTATAGTGTTGCTGTGGCAATGTATTGTGTTGCAAAGTTGAACAGATCCACAGAGTTTTCAAGGCTATAATCTTTCAAAAGCAGATTACAAAACCTGTCTTCTGAGGTGCCCGTGGGTAGGTTTGAACTGACAACCTTTTGACTAGTAGTTGAATCGTGCTGAACCCTTTGTACCACCCAGGGTCCCCTACACATGTATGAGGTTTTCAACATGTTCATGGGAAAATTCCATTATCACACAAGAAGAGGGAAGTTGACAGAAGAATGATGAAGACAGGTGAAGACACAGGGAGGTATGTAAGGACTAAAGGGGATAGAGGTTAATAGTGATACATACACAACCTTGGAACAACAGTGTCTGTGGGTAGGTTACATGGACAGAGACACACACTGAATGGGTATGGGAGGTAGAGTGGGAACCACTCTTATATATACCCACAAATTTATAAGAATATTTATACATGGGTATTTGCCTGTCCTGCAAAGCCAAATATGAATGTGGTGGAGTACACAGCAAACATAATGATGACAACTTAGATCTTATCAAACACCTTAAGTCATTGAGTTGCTGGGCCTGGAGGATTAACACCATAGTGTCAGGGAACACTATGGTCAACTGGCATAACATAGTCCACAAAGACATTGTTCTGTATCCCACCTTGGTAAGTAGTGTCTGGGATCTGAAAAGCTCATGAGTGGCCAACTAAGGTGCAGCTATTGGTCTCTCCATGTGCAGAAGAAAGAAGAGTGATGAGAACTGAAGATGCTTGGTATCAATTAGTTTAATGGACTAATGGAACAAGTGAACAGTCTCCAGGACTCTGAGACCAGAGGAACTAAATGGTGCCCAATTTCCACTACCAACTGCTCTGAAAGGGGTCACATTAGAAAGTCCTGGACAGAGTGCAGAGTGGCAGAATACATGGAACAAAACACAAAATTATTAAAAAGCAGCAGACCGGGCTTACTACACAGAAAGAGACTGGAGAAACCTGACACTCTGGCCTTTGACCACCCTTCATGTCTGGAAAGGAACGCTTACTGATGGAAGCCAAACAGTAGGTAGGTGTAAAGGGAGGATAACAACACTAGTGAGGTGTGCTCACTATGAATGACATGATTTGTTGAATGTAAAATGTGTGATCTTGTCAGTCAATCTTCATTAAAATCACAATAAAATGTTTAAAAAAATATATCCATTATCTTTTTCATTCAATTTTTCCAAGAAATTTTTTAAGTCACCTGGTATATAAACTTCATTACAGTGATGTAGAAAGTGTTAATTCATGTTGGGGAATTGGAGGATCAGATTTCTTATAATAAGGTGTTGCTGTAAGTACTGATAACAAGTATTGTCAATTGAGGAATTCCTTGGAGAGAAAGAGAAACTAATAATTGGCAAATGATTCCATTTGGGCTGTTTTCTTTGAAAGATAAAAAGAGAAACAAAACAAAACTGTGGATAATCAGAATCATTTCTGTCACACAGGGGCCTCGGGATAATTAGAAAGGACATATTATGTCTTAAAGAAAAAAATTTACCCAATAGTTCTTTCTTATCTCAAATAAATAAATAAATAAAAACAAAGACATAATTCTAAGTGAAGAATGTTTTTAAATGTAAGAACAGACACATCTAAATGTCAAAACTTCCAGATAATTAGTAGAGCAAGGAAATGAATAACATTCCACATCCAGTAAACTTTTATTTCATGGTAACCTAAATTCCAAAACTCTTATACTTTTTTTTAGCGGGGAAGATAAACATTCAAAAGCATGCATTTGCTAATAGTTGCACATACTTCCTGTATTGTTTCAGAAATCATTCAAGAACACACTTATCTGTTTAGTCCCACTCTTCAAACTAGGATATCCCACTCTCCGATTCAGAAATGCTCAAACCATAATTGCTACAAATTAATTTCTCACCAAATTGTCCTCTGAGTTTGTTGCCAGGAAAGCAAGAGGAGAGGAGGCTGAGAACTGTCAGTTGCTTTGCTGCTTCCTCTAAGTCCTTACCCTTGACCTACATCTTCTGTCAGCCCAAAAGGGTTTCTATTCCCCTCCTGTCTCGGGGTAATGTGAGTACAGTTACAGATTCCCAGTAAACCAGCTAGCAGGGGTGTTCACGACAGTCTGCCTATCGACTTGCTGTTTGCTGGAGACATTTGTACATTAAAAATATTCATGCTTTGGCTTCTGTTAGAAATCTGTTGTTCAGTTTGTTTACTTGCTCTCAAATAGTTTGACCTTTTGACAAAAAGGAAATGAAAAACTTACAAGTGAGTTCAATGGCTCGCCGGGAGAAGGACTTCTTAGCTATATAATTTACCACTAATTCAGAATCCTCCTCTGTGAATGCATTCCTGGGAGAATGAAAACAAAGACATCTCACACCACAAAAACAGGGCAACAGAGGTAGGTGTTGAGTTCACAAGGAAGCTACAAAGACTAAGGCAGTGACTTTCAAGAGTGCCTTCTACAATAGAAGAATTTCCCATTAGAAGAAATGTGTTTCATTCCTTAGATCTGGTTTAGGTGCGCCCAACAATACCAGAACAACACTAGGCATTGCCAAGTGCAGAAAATAACTGATGAATTAAAGAACACTGCTCGTTGTTGTTAAGTGCCATCGAGTCGGTTTTGACTCAAAGTGACTCTGTCTGTATATGGTTTCTGAGGAGTAGCTGGTGGGTTTGAACTACCGACTCTGTGGTTCACAGTCAAATGCTGATCCTATAGTGCCATGCCATGAGTCCAAAGTACATTATGGTCACGGTTTTGAACTGATAGGTAGTAAACTATTGTAGCATTCCAACCCAAACGCAGTGCCTTTGAGTTGATTCCAACTCATAGCGACCCTGTAGAATAGAGAACTGCTTGCTAGGATTTTGTGTGGAGCTGTGGGTTAATGCGCCAGACTGCAAAGCCATTTGAACTGCAAGGTCGGTGGTTCAAGCTCACCAGCTGCTGCTTGGAAACCCTATACAGGGTTGCTATGGTCGGAATCGACTCGACCACAAATCTTTACTGGAGTAGACAGCCTCATCTTCCTCCTGAGGAGTGGCTGGTGGGTTTAAACTGGTGGAATCAAACACTGAGTTCTAAAACATTAAATTGAACAGGAAAAGGTAAAAACGTTCACTGTCCTCTCCGCCCAGGAGTCAAACTAGAATGTTAATCAGGAACCAATCCTTTGGTTTCCCTCCTGTCTTCAAACAGGTCCACAACCTAACCCCTCCCCAATTCTAACGCCATATAAGTCTGCACTGCCCTATATTTGACACTGGAGAAATTAGCTCCTCTGACCCAGCCGGTTTAATGAAATCTGAAACTCTGCTTCCCCCCTCAGAGTAGCCGTGGTTTCTTCGATGACGGGCCAAGAGCTGCTGTGACTCTCTGGGGCCCATGGCTGCTGTAACAAATCACCCACAGCTTTATTTTCAAAGGGGTCCTGGTGTGGTGCTGTGGGCTAATGCATCAGACTGCAAAGTTGTCTGAACTGCAAGTTCTCCAGTTGTTCCTTGGAAACCCTATACAGAGCTGCTATGGGTTGGAATTGACTCAACAGCACTTACAACAACATTATAACATGGCTTCTTATTTTTGCTGATAAAACTAGTGTTTCAACATAGAAGAAATACAGAAAAGAAGGGTAGAAAGTTCTTTTTTATTTGAATTGGGTTTTTCTTGATTAGAAAAATAACTGATCATTACAGAAAATGTGCAAAATATAGGAAAAAGTAAAACAAAACCATGGCAGGCTTGCTAATGCTTTGTGAATTTACATCAAGTATTTTATCTACCTTTTTTATTAAGTATAATTTTAAGGCTTCTAATAAAAATCTCTTCTTTGTAAAGGAGGTTTTGTTTTGTTTTGTTTTGACATTCTCCATTGGCTACCTTTGTACACATTTGCCTAATTAAAGAAGCTGCTTGACTCCAGGGTTTATGTAAGACAGGAAGACAGGACCACCAGCTGGGTAGAATGTGAGGGGTCTACATGACTCAATAAACTCATCAGAATGACCAGACAAAACATTTTTAACAGGTAAACTTACCCAAACCTTGTTTCCTGGGCTCTTTTTTTGATGGCCAGAGAGACATAGATAATCAATCCCATCAAAAAGAATCCACAAATGCAGCCAAGGATGATGAGCACAGGATCTGTTTTGCCAGGTGCCGGGGTGGATGAAGGGGCAAAATCTACCCAAGCTAGTAAAATACCAAGAGAAACAATTCAAAGCATCCCTTCGGAGTTCAAAATACACAACATTGGCATGTAACAGGGAAAAGCAGACTCCTTGCTCCCCATCCCTGATGTTCTTCTGGTACAGAGTCTGCGGGCTCTAACTCAACACTAATAAGGTGTTGCTCTTAAGTGTGGGAAGGTCCCTGGGAACAGATAGAGGAGAACTCAATTGTCTGCTCCCAAGTTCTGTCTCCTGCTGGATACAAAGGCCATGTTTGGCAAGAAGTTGTAAATGTGTAAGTCACAGTGATAAGATGTCTGCAAATGGATTTGATGATTGTTGTTGTTGGTTGTGAAGTGCCGTCGAGTCGGTTCCGACCCATAGCGACCCTGTACAGGGTTTCCAAGGGTGTAAATCTTTACGGTTGTAGAAAGCCTCATCTTTCTTCCGCGGAGCGGCTGGTAGTTTCGAACTGCTGACCTTAAGGTTCGCAGCCCAATTCGTAACCACTACGCTACCAGAGCTCCTTGGATTTGATGATAGGTGTTTAAAATGAAGCTTCTATGGTCTGCTGGAAGTGAGCACAAGAGGTGGGCCCTTCGAGGCACCACAATGGCACCTGGCCTAAGGACACTTCAACAGGCCAAAGCCAGCACACTGACTAAGCATTTATCTCAGTGAGTTACGTCTGCACAGGCTGAGGATAGTTTCTGTGGGAAACACTTCATGTTATTTACAGAGGTCAAGTGTGAAAAACCCATTTTGTCCTCTGTAACTGGCAATGATTATACCCAAGATACTGCATTGGTCACAGTTAGTTATGAGGTCACTGATGGGTTATCACGAGTGCTTATATACAACGCTAAAGAAATCCAATCTGTACTCAGTTTAGTGAGACTGAGGCTTTCTTCATTCGATTTTGCAAAATGGGGCATAAAACCTTGAGGACACAGGCAGAGAGATGCTGAGTGGCTGACTTGCAAAGAATGTCATCCTCCTCTCTCCAGAAAGTCCCTCCCCCAGTTCCTCACTGACTGAGTACTATGGGGTTAACAATCTTTCCTACTGTCCCTTGATGGTAGCATTCTTACATGGTCTTCCCTGTCCCCTATTTCCTTGATGGTTGTATTCTTATTTCAAGTTCCTAGTAGAGTGGGTTTCTTTCTCCTCCCCCAATTCATCCTGTTTACATACTCCAGGGACATAGGCCCCTGTTGCTCTGTGAATCAACAATCTATGTCTGGTCTAGCAATCTCCTAGACCCTTTATTCCTAAAGATGGACCATCTTGAGAATTTATTTCTCACAAAAGGACTAATCCTATTGTCATATAAAATGTAGGCGCTTGTATATATTTTAAACAAAATTCAGTAAGTACTGGCAAATCTGGTGTTCTGAAAGGATTACTCTTTCTAACATGTTTTCATCATTAATAGTAGAACTCTGGTACCACAGTAGCTTGTGAAGTGTTACCCTATCAATTATCTTGATCACAGCAAAAATCCCTTTGGCTTTATTTTTCATTCTTACACACGCATCTATTTGTTGCCAGTTTGTGTCAGCTGACCAGGACCCCAACACTCACCTTGTGCAGGGATGAATATGTCCACGGGGTCACTATAAGGTCCCACTCCCCCTGTGGTGATGGCTGCAATCCTCACTGCGCATGTGGCATTGTGGACTTGAACAAGAATCTGAGCGCTGCTGACGTTCTGGCTAACTTCCTGATAGAAATCTTTCTGGGGACAGAGAGGAGAGGGAATGCCATGAAGTATCCAGACACCAAGGGCATGTTGCTGCCCACATCTTGTTCTGAGGAAAACTACTCCAGCCACACCCACACCCAAAGGGGCACCAGTCATGTTTCCATAGCAGCCTGTCTTCATTCTGGCCATGGCCAACAGCAACAAACATGGGCAGAGGGACCCAGGACAGGCTGGCAGCAACCTGAGACCTTGCGGCCTGGCAGGAGCTGTGAGGAATGGCACTGAATCCATAAAACAGCCCTTGGAAGCCAGGAGCCATGTAGCAGGTGCACACAGATGATAATCCCAAAACTGACTCCTGCTGTGTTGCTGGGCCCAGATCCACCCACAGCATAATGCCCAAGAGTCACACTGGCCTTGCACATAGACCATCTGCCAAACTCCCTGGCACCTGCATAAATAAGTTACTGTTCCTTGAAATTATAAGAATTTTGACTAAAGCAAAGATCCAAGAGGGTATACACACTGGTTTTTCTTTACTTGGGACAGATGCACAAGTTGGTCAATGTTTAAAAATCTATTTTGGGGGGAAATTTTTTATTGTGAATTGATTGAAGGTTTAGCATAAAAATCTATTTTAGTTTTAAGGCCGCTTTTGCAAAATAGTAAGCTATTAATATAAAGGGGAAAACGTTTGAAAAAATAAATAGAACTAAGTGTTGATTAAATGTTTTCCCTCTGTTTCCAAACTATCACTTTAGTGATGTTTTGAGGCTAAGAAACACATTTTTGTGTTTGGGGCTGGCTATGTAAATGAAGACTATAGAACTGTGAAGGCTGAAATGAAGCCCTAAGATGTCATTCATCTGTAACTTGTGGAAATTTAATTTGTCAGACAGATATAAGTGTCAGCGGTGGTACAAATGTCCTCAATCAGCAGTTAGCAGCAGAGGTGTGGTTTTGGTGATAGTGTTATTCCCTGATTGTTCAGTAACTTCTCTCAGCAAAGGTGCAGGTGGAACCAACTCATTCCTCAAGGACAGGGCAGTCCTGTGGCTCAGTGCCAACGGCCAGCCATCCAGAGACTATTCATAAATCTAAACCAACAACGACCACCAGGAAACAGAAGTATCTCCAGACGAGAAAGCAAATAGCAAAACACAACCTAATAGCAACTCTGTTTCTCTGCTCCAATGGACTCTGAGTCTATTATGAGATCTGCTAATTAAATGAACAAATTAACAATGAAAAAACTTTTGATATATCCTGGCATTTTCGTTTTTTGACATTGTTGTTGTTATGTGCCGTGGAGTCGGTTCCGACTCATAGCGACCCTGAACAAAGTTTCCAAGGCTGTATGTAAATCTTTACGGGAGCAGAAAGCCTCATCTTTCTTCTGCGGAATAGCTGGCAGTTTCGAACTGCTGATCTTGAGGTTCACAGACCAATTCGTAACCACTATGCTACCAGAGCTCCTTTTTCGACATAGAGCATTTTGTTTATTGCAAACTCAGTTTTGATTATGGATTACTTGTCCATTCTCTGAGGAGCCCTGGCAGTACAGTGGGTAAGTGCTTGACTGAAGCATGTATAGGGTTGCTGAGGAGCGGCTGGTGGGTTTGAACTGCCAACTTGTGGTTCAACTTGACCTTGCTGTCCAGTGCTGATCCTATAGTGCCACCCCAGAAAGAGGTGCAGCCATAGAGGAAATCCTCTGGGGCAGTTTGACTCTGTCCTATAGGCTCACTATCACCTGGAATTGATTCGATGGCAGTGGATTTGGTTTGGTCACTCTCTAATTTTTTTAGGGGAAGAAATTAATCAAGTATAACTTAAGTCTACAGTCAAACCCACATGGTCATGGAGCCCTACAATCAGCCAGGAGCTTAGCTGAGGAATAATGAGTCTATTTAACAGTATACTTATTACCCAACAGCTCCTCAAAGTATAATCGACCTTACATTGGACCTGCTTTTGGTTGCATGTCCACCCCCCTATAGAGACTCAAATGCAATGCATCATCTATGAAGGAAATGATCTCAAAACAAGAGTCAATGCATGAATTGGAAAGAATTCAATGCCTAGAAGAACAGAGTTGATAACAACAAAATTAACCTTTTAAAAATAAACATAGGAGCTCTGGTACTGTAGTGGTTACGAGTTGGGATGATAACCCCAAGGTCAGCATTTTGGGAGAAAGATGAGGCTTCCTGCTTCCATAAAGATTTACGGCCTCGGAAACCCTATACAGGATCGCTATGAGTCAGAACTGACTCTATGGCATACCACCACCACCATCAAAATAAATATAAAAGAAGTTAATAATACCTGTTCTCTAGTACCTAAAGGAGACCTTAGGTAGTGCAAAGGGTTAAGCACTTGAATATGTGCCGAAAGGTTAGTGGTTTCAGCCCACCAAGAGGTACTTCAAAAGACAGGTTTGGCATTTTCTTTCTGGAAAACCCCATGGGGCAGTTTGACTCTACACACATGGGGTTGCAATGAGCCAGAATTAAACTGACAGCAAATGACAACAAAGGGCCTATGGATACTCAGAAGTTACTTTTTATCCGCACCTCCTAGTCCTTAAGTGAAGGGGCCCTGGTGGTACAGTGGGCTAAGTACCAGGCTGGTAACTAAAGGGTCGGTGGTTTAAACTCACCAGCTGCTCCACAGGCGAGAGGTAAGGTTGCTACACCTGTAAAGATTTATAGTCTCAGAAACCCTAGGGAGTAGTTCTGCTAATCCGGATTAGGTCACTGACTTGGAACCAACTGGACAACAGTCAGAAAAAGAGTCTTTAAGTGAGCTACCAGATGTACTGAGCTAATCCGTGTCAACTACTTGGAACAGCCACTGGTCCAAATCACCAGTTACCCAAGTGTAGTGATCACTGTCATCAAAACTGTCATCATGCTGAATCTTAAAGTATGTCAACAGTACTGGTGATGCATTGTGAAGATATGTGACAAATCATCACACTTTAGGGGTGGAATCACAAAAAAGGTTAAAGCAGTGACTGGGAAGATATTCTATTGGGAGCCTGAAATCTTTCTCTAAGAATATCCATAAATGGTAACTTCAAATATAGTTTAAAAATAATTCACTTTTTTTTAAAATGAAGTCAAATATATAAAGAAAGGTGTACTCACAGCTGTATCTCCAAATAACTTATTTTAATTTTGAGAGTTTACAAACAGCGTCACTTAAAATCAGATAGGTGCAGGCTATCTCTGTGTGATTCTTTCCTGTGTTGGTAGGATACAGACTGCATACAGGTGGGCTCTGTCCCTGGAATGAGGTGGTCTCGGTGTACACCATGAGCCAATTGCATATTTCTCAGTTAGTGAGCTTTCATTTTTCACGAACATTGAGCCCGTATCTTCAAGGAACGTAAAATCTAAGAACCTTTTCAGGTCATGCAATCAAATGTATAATACACTGAATTACAATGACGTCATTGTTGCTGTTGGTGTTAGGTGTTGTTGAGTTGGTTCCAACTCATACTTAATCTGTGTACAGAACACAGCACTGCCCAATCCTGCACCATCTTCACAATCACTCCCGTGTTTGAGTCTAGTGCTAAAGCAACTGTGTCAGTCCATCTCATTGAGGCTCTTCCTCTTTATCTCTGGCTGACCTTATCAAGTGTGAAAAATGTTGATACCGACAAATGCTCAAGTAATCCAATCTATACTCATTTTAGTGAGAGTAAGGTTTTCTTTATTTGATTTTTGCAAAATCAGGTGGCCAATCCCGTAGACATGGGCAGATGTGCTGCATGGTGGGCTTTAGAACAGTTTTATTCCCCTGTCTCCAAAAAGCCCTTCCTCCAGTTCCCCTTTTACTGGATATTACAGGGTTTACCATCTCCTCCCAAGGTCATCTACTAGTCCTTACTGGGAGCATTTTCATTTAAAGATAGTTTCCCCCTTTCCCCATGTTGTTGTTGTTGTTAGGTGCCATTGAGTCAGTACTGACCCATAGCGACCTTATGCACAGAAGGACAAAACACTGCCCGATCCTGGGCCAACCTCACTATTGTTGCCACCCTTGAGCACAGTGATGCTGCCACTTGGCTAATCCATCTCGCTTGGGGTCTTCCTCTTTTTCTCTGACCCTCCACCTTACCAAACATGATATCCTTCTCCAGCGACTGCTCCCTCCTGACAACATGTCCAAAGTATGAGAG